ACTTTTCTCAAAAAATCCGAAGATTGAATTTTATTTACATTTATTTTCCCCGAAAATTTAAGGTTTTTATCAGTTTTTTAAATAAATTTTAGACAATTTGCGATTTGTTGATATTTGTTTTTACTCAATTCTGGGATGTTTTCGGTATTTACAGGTAGTTCTGATGTAAAAATCGTTTTTTTTTGAGACACTTTTTACGAACATTGCTGTAAATTTAAAGAGACGAAATTTCTAAAAATTTTGATGATTTTTGAGGTCCACCAGATATTTTCCCCAATATTTTCCGGTTTATGAAGATATTTGAGTAATTAAAAATAAAGGTTTAAGATGTTTTTTTGAAAAATTTAAAAATTCCTTTAAATGTTTTGTATTTTCTTTATTTCTAATACAGAATCATACAAAAATTTGCATGTTATAATTCTATTTATTTATTGCGGTATTTTCAGAAGATTTTTTAATACTGAATTATGTTTTTGTGGATATCTAGAGCGTTTTTTGAAAATTTTAAAGTTGACCAAATGAGTCTATGAGAAAAAAAAACGATTTTTTAATGTATTTTTTTAGGAACCTCAAAAACGACTTAAAATAATACCAATTAAGACTCAGTTACTAGATGTGGCTTGTGATTGGTAAATTAAGTTGGCAACAGTGAATAATATGTAGACTGAAGATACGAAAATTTCACTTATTTTAATAGAATTTAAGAAAAAATAGCACAATTCGATATTGTTTTGTTTGATTTAAGTCGTTTTCAGAGAAATTGAGCGCTTTTTTGAAAATTTTGAAAAATCAAAAAAAAACGAAAATTCTGTCTAAATGACAAAAAATTATTTCTAAAAAACATTGTTGTTTAAAATGAGATGTAATACTTTTTTCACCACGTGGCAAAAAAATTCAAAATGACAGAATTTTGTCAAAATAAGCGAATTTTTTACTTCGTATGTTGCTACTTGATGAAATAAAATTTCATTCTCCAAACACGATCACATTTTTCTAGGATTTAATTTTTATTAATTATTATTTTCAATTTTTTCAAAAAAATCTGGAGATTTATTTAAGGTTTTTAACGGTTTTTTCAATAAATTTTAGACAATTTGTAATTTGTTGATATTTATTTTTATGCAACACTGGGAAGTTTTATGTTTTTCCAGGTATTTAGTTCTGGTGTAAAAATCG